TAAGTTTCTAAATAAAACATTTCATGACAGAAGGCAAACATTTTATCCAAGCTGGAAACAGCCTTGGGAGCAAACAGATGTAGCTATGTAGGTGCTCACACAAGAAGAGCTAGCTCTGAAGTGATCTGTATCATTGCTGGGGGGGGGAAAAAAGAGAAAGAGATATACAGATCATTAACCTCTGATACCATCAACTTGGCAAGAAACTATCTTAACAAGTAACGCCATAATCAGTATTTAGGTAGAAACTCTAAAGAACTGTGGCACTTGTTTACATCGTAGCCCTGTGGAAAGAAGCCTAAAGGCTCTGGGATGAGGAAACCTATTACTGTAAAAATGTAAAGGAGGCAACTTAGTAATGGATATTAAAAATTCTTCACTTGAAGTTTGCTAAAAAAACAAATATATATACACAATTCAGGAGGTATAACTGATGTAACGTAACTTCATAAAAAGAAAATGTGAGTTTCTACCAAGCCTGCCCTAGCAAATGGCATTTTTCTCTAAAAGTGTCTGTAATGGACCTGTGTCAAGATGCCAGCACACTTCTGGCAACACCAACTGCAGCAGGTGATTAGAATTTATGCTGTGTAAAATTAACTTTTAGACTAAATGAAAATTATGAACCAAAATGCAAAAGCATTTATATGGCACTTTGCCCACGCCGTTTGTTTGAAAAGCATCAAGGCAAGTGAATACACGGCGGCGCTCTGAGGCGTCCATGGACTAACAGCCCTGGCTAGGCCAGCCGCTGCCTTCCCAGCCCCACGGCTCTGCCCCAACAGAAGCTCGGGGTGTAAATATGCAGAGTCACGGACACACCGAACCACCTTCATTTCTTAAAGGCCAAGTGATGAACAGCAAGGGAAAATTAGAAGACATTACCTACAAAAAACTGAAAACTCCATCTCTTGTAAAATGATCGGCTCTCAGGTACAGGAAAATCATACATTCTGCTAGATTAGTAAGAACTTTTCTTAAAAAACCCTGTGTCACAGGAAGCTTATGGGAATTGAGTGAAAGCACCCAGCAGCTTCCTACCTTGAAATGTACCTACTTCACTACTTGTGTTATTTGGGTGATGTATTTCACCACGGCGGAAAAAAAAAATCATTTCCCGAACAGAACATCAGTGCTGCGGATCAGCTCGACAGTTCAGTTTAATTCTGCGGCCGGGACCAGCAGCCCGCTGCTACCACCACCTCCCTCCAGGCTCTGGGAGCGAAGTTCCACAACGTGCAAGAAGAAATCCACATCCGCTGCCAACCCCTACCGCCCAGGCACCAACCAGCACCTTCCGGCCTCCAGCGCTGCCTGTTGCACCAAGCTGGGCGGCACGAGGTCCGGGTTCTTTCGAAATGAGCTGCTTCGTCTGATCCAACGTGGCTGCGCGTGTTCCCACACACACAGACACACACAACTCTTTCTTTTGATCCTGCTAAGCCCCCGGCTTCAGCAACACCTTGAGGATTGAGTTTGCAGTTGTGCGTGTCGTAAAAAGCATTTCCTGTCACTCCTGTTAAAGGTGTTGCCTTTAATTGGCATCACCTTGTCCTTATCCTTGCAAAAATCACCCTGTCTGTGACGTACCGGTGGCTCGTACACAGCGACTCCTCAACCAGGGCCTCCCAAACACCCTGCGTTCGCTCGCCCTCGCTCGTTACCCACTTCTCTTTCCCCAAGCTCTTTCCCGATACGGCCATGAGAGGACGAGCACAGTACCTCAGGGCGCCGAGAACACCCCGCCCAGCGCTGGGGCGCCCCGTCGCACGCTCCACACGCCGCTTTTCGAACACCCGGCGCCCGGTGACTCCCGACACCTGCTGACCAGCGGTTTTACTGCGCTCGCCGCGGGGTTTCTCTGACACCTGACCAACTGCCCGAGAGCAGACCGGCGTTAGCCCACCCGGGACCTGCTTGGATGTGCTGTGAACATCGGCCATCTCTGCAGTTCTGCCGCAGCCCACTGCGTTTCCACAGTTTTGAGTCCTGCAGAGTCCCAGTAACACCGCTGCCACCTGATCTGGCTACCAGAACACGTATTCCGTTTCCAGTTTATCTGGTAGGTGTTAAACCAGTGCTCCCCACAGAGCTCTGGCATAATTTGTTATCCATCTCCACCATTTTTTATATTCACTGTTTACTCCTATTCTCCCCTGTCTTACCTCATTCCCAGTGCTTCATGGTCCTCCTGGCTGTGCAGTCTGAAGCCAGTTCTTACGGCAGCAGCTTCTCAGAGAACTTCAGGCTTTGGGAACGTACAAATAAAGACCAATTCCATCAGACTGTGCTATCTTCTTTTACAGTAATTCTAGATTAAGGGCCACGTTTTGGTCTTTTTCAAAACAAACAAACATACATTTAATATACTATTAAAAAAAACCACAACAGATTTTCCATTTAACTTAGTAGTTCATCCAGCTATCTGCTCACTTCAGAAGGTTTGTTTGGGTTCATTCCCTAGGATTTCACCCTTATGCTTCTATTGGATGATACAACAACTATTCCCCACGTAGGAAAACCAGCTACTTTTTAAAATTCTTCACAGCTCCTGGCTGAATTCAGCCCGGACTTGCTGATGTAACAACTTCTCTTCATTTCATAAATTTAAGTATTCTCTCCTTTATGGGAATCTAAAATCTGATTTTTAAATTTTTTTTTTAAATCACATTATCTGTGCTGAGAACTGTAGAAGTACAACGGCATTTTTGCACTGAAGTTCTCGCTCTTCTTTAATCAGGAGCATTTTCTCAAAAAAATCAGTTACCTTAAACATTTAGAAGTAATTTTAGATACGAAACCAGAAGCAGGACTATTTGCAAAATGACACATTTATCCTGCTTTATGTTACAACATCGCGAAGCCAATTCCACTTGACACAGCAAGCCAGCTTCTCCCTTCGGCGAGTCACTCAGAGCAAACAGGGAACCAAACAGTCCGAGGAGCAAACCACGATGGCAAGAGGCACAGCGCTGCCACCAAACCTTTAACTCCTCCTCTTCACTCTTTGGACATTCGTATCATTTCTGCTCACATATTTGATTTGCTGTGTCAGTGCCCCCCTAATTCTCATTTTCCACATTTTACACGTAAAATGCCAAACGTAACATCTTTTTTTGCTAGCTCCCCATTGGTTGGGCTTTATTTAATAAAGAATACTTCATAAAATGGACCTCGTGTCTTGCTGTTTCATCCTAGTTCTGTCGTGCGTTCCTGCTTTTTTGTTTAGGGAAAACCGGTTCTTTTTTAATTTATAATTTTAGTAGAAATACTTTTGCATGGAGCTATCTCCTCTCCAGTTGTTCTTCTGGCATAGTATCAGAGGAATAAGGTAATTTTTGTCACCACCAATTAAAAAGTTTCACGAAACAGGACCGTTATAAAACAATTAAACCTTGCAAATGCAGTAGTCTCTAGGAGGGAAACCCTGGAGGAAATTCTGCTTATTAAAACTGCAATTTTAGTTTCCATTAAAAAGGAGAATAAGACAACAGAAGATGGGCTGGCAAGACAAATTATTTCTTAATGTCAGCTGAGCTTGTTTCAAATGAGATAACATATCTACACCAGGTTGGGTTCAACACATTTTTGCCTCCTCAACTCATTTATCTAATTCAGTCATCTTGATTATGGCCTCATGGACCTTCATTTTCAGAGGAAGAATTTCGTAACAAACAACCTACACAACATGCTGATTACGGAACAGTTAATTCTAATTAACTTGGCTATGGCAAGAGAATTTTGATAAAGTCCTAGAATGCAAATACGGTTCGGTTATTCTGGCCAAACTTCTACAAAATGAAAACCCACAGAGTCTCCAGATGAGACATCAGAGTGATAGGGATCTAATTTAAAGAAACAAATGAGAAAATTAAAATCACAAATAATTTATTCTTCCGTTAGAATTGATGGAGTACAGTTTTAAATAGCAATGAAGTACACAGTGGTGGAAAATTGGCACAGAACCTACAAGCGTTTCATTCATAATTATGTTCCTCATGCCATGTCTGTTCAAACCTTGATGTGTATTTTCTATCAACTTTAAGAAAATTGTTTTCCCTTTAAAAATGACGAATAAATTGAAAAGCTTGTCTTCCAAGTATAATATCGTACATACTATGAACACCAGTTGGTTTTCTCCCCACCCCCGCACCCCAAAACAGGATCGCCGACCAAAAACCAAAAAGTTACTTTACTCCTGGGTTAATTTTTAAGTTCTGTCCTTTATAAAAGTTGCCAGCAATTCTTGAAAGCATACGTTCCTGCCCAACAGAAGATCCATTTATTTATCTGATATACAGTTGCAGGACAGTCTCAAAACCAATTTTTTGTGTACTATGCTAGGGGCCAAGGTGCTGCCTCTATCTCACATGCAACACTACAAGCATTAATGCAGTTCAAACAAAATTTGGCATTTACCTCATTAACGGGTTTTATATTTGATGTTACAAAACACCCCTTGGTCTCCTGTTAACCAATAAGAAAAATGGACACACACAAAAAATGCCCCCTTTCTAAAGATAGTAACTCCCGGGTAGGAAAGTTTAGACAGGTTTTACAAAGTCTTCTAGGCTATTTGATACATAGAAATTATTCAACTAAAGGTTAAAATACACTTATACAATACAGTCCTGTCCTCCACACTCTTTTTCAAGTTCTTTGCATAATCAAGCCAAGTAAAATTAACACTTGTCATTTTCTTTGTTATTGCAATTATTAAGAGGGATTACAGCTTGCTTATGCAAAGCTGTGACAAAACACTTGAGAAATAAAACCCAAACGTTTATCTCGTTACCCAAAAAATGTTGCAGAAAATTGTCAAACTATGTTAAAAACAATTTTTTACAAAACTGCTTCACTCAGAAAAATTGGAAAGCTTAAAAAATTAATCTTTGCACAAGACTATATTATACTGCCCTTAATTATGTTCCCATTTAGATAACTGGGATTCTCATTCTTTGTACATGAACCTATCAGTGATGTATGATGCTCTCCATCTTTTTTCTCTGTTATCTTTATTGTACACCGTTTCAAGACTTACACAATCAAGCACTTATCATGCCCCTACCCATTCCCAACAGTAGATTTCCTAACCTGCCCAGCGAGTAGTGTACTGTCTTGCATATTCATCACATGAAAAACATAATATACAAAATATTGCTGCTGTAAAAAGTGTGCATTTCCCCTTTCCCCCTACAAAAAAAATCTGTGGAAAAAATAGTAAACTCCCATAACCTTCATAAACACACAAAGCTGTTCACACCTTTCAGTCTGTAACAGTCTATTGACGTACGGTTCTCAACTCACTGCAAATTGCTGTGTCACATATTTTCTGTCCAATATTGCCATCTAGAGTAGAGATGTGAAATCCGTTTCTGAGAATCTACAGTCTTTACCCGTTAAGCCATAAAGACTGTATACCATAAGACAGCCACAAGATTTTTCCAAAAGCTAGATGGAATGGGAGGTTCTCATCTCAGGAAGATGTCCACAGTGCTGAGGAGACAATATGGCTGCTAACAGATATTGCCTACTGGAATGTGAGTACTTTTTCACTGCTGGTAATTTCCATACTGACCCTAAGAAAAAAATTCAAAATACATCATTAGACCACAAAGCATATTTTCCTGTATTAAAAGCTGAAATCAGAGACCATCCAAATAAACTGTGCTGTGAAGAAGTGGAAACAAATAACAATAAATGATAACCCAATGTAAGCGGTACAGTTGCATCCCACTAAAAATCCCCCGTTTTAACGTAAAAGTAAGACTGATGACACAGATTTAAAGGCAGAAGCCTAATTTGATCAAACGAGTATGCCTTTAAATTCAATAGGCTGCTGTGAAATTTGCAGAACACAGTCAAAAATAAGAGATGGGCGTTACTTCCCACCTAAACTTTGAAGATTATTTCAAAAACACAAGGTCACCTAAATTCAAAGCAATCCAGGAAGCTAACCCGCTTTCAGAGATACCTAAAAATACCCCTCGGTCAAGCACCCCCGAACGGACCGATCCATGTGTCTCCAAACCAAGGCACATCCCAGTGAACGTAAAGAACGAGTAAGCCCATCCTACGGGAATTAATTATTCCATAGACCCGATACACAGAATTACTGCACTTATTGATAGTCTTGATTTCTTCGGGCAGAAGGTCAGGTACTGCAGAGGAGGGCGGAGGTGAAGGCACCGGCGCTACCTGCTGACCACGGTCCTTCACCACGGCTGCAGCAACGAGCCGTGTGCTGGGACGCAAACGTCCTCCAGACGGCAGTCCCAGCACCACCCCATGGCAAGTTCCATCACAGTGAGGCAGGACTTTAAATCCCAGGTTTTCCCACGGCAGTAGGACAAGCAGTCAGGAAGAGGAGTACCAGAACAGCTGCCAGGTGAGAATCTGAGCAGCGCAATTCCTGTGGGAAGGGCTAGTATGAAAGAGAGGTCTTCTGTAACTGAGTTTCCTGGGGAACTCGGACTGCACCAACTGGAGCAGCAGAGCCTGAGTACAGAAGGGGTTATCCGCTCCTGCTGCAAAGCAAGCGCAAAGACACTCAGCAAGTGGAGATTAAGTTTCCTCGACCCTACGTTTGCCACAAGCAAAGCATTTTCCTGTAGCTTATTCTTTGCAGGAGAAAGCTATTAGTTCAGTGCCTAAGCATTTTGGTTAGCTGATAAATAATGAGAAGAAATTGCGTCTCTAAACTACCACACCGAAAGAGTTTGTTCCTTCCTCCTTGTCTTGTAAGCTCTGTAGAAAGGAAGCCAACTGTTCTCCTTTAAAAGTGTGGGCAATTGTGGCTATTCGCTCTTCCAAGGGAAAATTCTTCTTGGAAGTTCAACTGATCTTCTACTGACATATCAGAACTCGATTTAAACACTAGAACCTCAGCTTGATCACAAGGTGCAGCTAACCTCCATTTTATCTATGCTGAGGAAAGGAATAGTGTACGTTTCTTAATGATGTTTCTGAACGATCCATATTGCAAAGATTAGAATTTTACAGTTTAGTACCTTCTACAGGAACAAAACCTCCTCTTCATCCTTTAATCAGAAGACAGGTTTGTTTTTTTTTTTTTTTACAGGAGTCCTCTGCTACAACTCCCGCCTAGAGATCTGGTGGTTCTTGTTTGCTTGTTTTCAACGTATCTTAGCAGTGATAGGAAAGAAGCAGTTGATGTTCAGGTCACTTTTTTCCTATGTTCAGTGTTCTTTACGCTGGTCAGAGAAAACAGGCTTCATGTCTATTTTCAGAGAAAATAGGCTGGTCAGTGCAAAAACAGGCTTCGTGTCTGCCCATACAGGCCTACAGTAGAAGGACCTCAGCTGCAACTTGAGGTGCTTCTGCAACTGGAGAGGAGGATTACTGGATTTGTGTTTGGGGCGGGGGGGGGGAATCAATTCACTCATTTTTATTGCAAAGCAGTAACGAAGAATGATCCACCATAGGAACCTCATCTTTCATACTAGCCATTCATCACGAGGCTATGAAACAGATCACCTTAATTTTTAAGGTCCAAAAACACCGCCTGGAGGGCCTCACTTTGCCAAATTGCATTAAAACTTTGCAAGCTCAGTAGAGAATGACTAATCACATCTCCAGACAAATGATTCTGGGTAACTCACCTAGAAATAAAATCCATGAGAACTGTATATACGCACCTGAGAGGCCATGTCCTCAAATTCATTAGCTCAAATGTCCACAAGAAATTAAGATTCTCAAATAACTGTGTAAGAGTAACAACTTTCTCATCAAATGAAAGAATACCTGGTCATATCCATAAGGCCTCTGCTGTGGTGGCTGTGGTGGCCCAGGCTGTGTGGGTCTGTATCCCCCATACTGCTGGCCTTGTCCTTGTGGATAATTGGGATACTGAGGTCCTGGACCACTCTGGGAGGGGCCTGGAGATCATTAAAATGGAAATAAAAAGAAAAAAAAAAAAGATTGCTTAAGGTGTTAGGAAGAAGAGAACAGTAAAATCATTGACTGTTACAACTGAGCAGGGCTAAGAAGTATCACCACTGTGCAGTCAGGTCTCTTCCTACCTAAAAACATACCAGGGATCAGTGGTCCCCCTCTCATCCCAGAAAGCACCTTAGTGACAGGGCCTGTGCTCCAACCACAGAAACATTTACTTTTATTTCTATATTCATCATTCATTATCAATGCATGTGGTTCCACACCTGAGTCACAGGTCAGGGAAGACATGACACACCATGAACATGAGCCCTTTCCAGGATTTCGGGACGCACTCTCCCCTCCTGCTCCAGCTCCAGCGCCCCACGAGGCCAGGGGCACCAGCTCATCAGCTGCATGGAGCGCCTGGGCCTTCGGAAGAGACCAGCAGCGCTGCGCTGCCGGCGACAGCTCTCACCCCCAGCAGGCCATCCCAAACGGGGTGTCAGGCAAGCACATCACAGGAACGAAGGGAGAGATGTGGCAGCAGTAAATGCTACTGGGGGACGGAGAAAGCACCCTCTGCTCCACACCCCTCTGGTCATCTTAACTTTCCAGGAAAAGGATAGAAAAAAAAAACGTTGGCTCTAGTATTTTTTGGCTGTAGGAGGAGGTGGTTCTTCCGTCAATACCAACTCTTGCTGTCACTACTCACAGCCTGTCTACCCCTGGAAGCTGCTATGGTTACTACCACCAGGCAGCGCAGCCATGTTCCAAACAAAATGAACCTCCTCCTCTCCTACCTTGGGAGAGATGGTCTGCTGTGTGTCAGTGACACCCCACATGGATCTTTCCGGTGGAGCTGAGCTTTTTTGACACCACCCCTTAAAAACTGGCAAGAGTCCAGAAGATCTGCAACTCTTCCAAAGTGCCTTCCTTTACACAACACTACTTTTTTTTTTTTTTCTCATCACAAGAAACTGATGTGTTTTAGCAATATTCAGTGCTAGAGAGGGCTCGTTTAGCTACAGGACTTTAGCAGACATTAAGATGACATTAGCTGGTAACTCTCACTCAGTAATTCTTTCTGGATCTACAAGACAGTCAAAGAGATGACCTGGAGAAGAAAAGCTCCATAGGCTATTATCATTCTCCTCAGGCCTCAAATCCCCTTGAACTATGCAGTTTCAGCTTTCTACAGTGGAACAAAGCCTTAAAGACTGAGAATAATGACTAGGATGCAGATTTATTTTTGCAAATTAGAAAGCAATTAAATATTAAATTGAGCAAGGATACTACATCCTAAAAAATGCTGTGTTCATCTGACAAACGAAACTTGGTTTTATTTATTCATGGTAATTCTTTATAGTTGAATTCTAAATATTCAGTGACAGGTTTTATAAAATAAAAATGGAACTTCAATATCCATTTCTGCTAAAAAACAGGAATTGAGAAGTCTGTTATTTGGGTTTACAAATTACGGTAGCTAAGTCACTCCAATGGATTTCCTCATCTCCTTCCTCTAGTATTTCTTAACCTAAATTTTCAGAATAAGTCAGATAACTGGATTTACTGTGAATCTGACCTTCACCTACATGGCAAACAAGTCATCCATGCACTTCCTCACACACCCATGACGTTGAAAGTTTTAGCACTTAAACCTGCAACAAAGCTAAAAGTTAAAATATATGGAATTAGATTTCAGAGATTCCTTTTTGGGTGATAAATATGTAGAGCTTTACAATACCAAAGCACTCAAAACTTGAGAGCAGTATTTTCAGCATGCTCTTCAGACCTCAAGTTTTCACAGGTAATGCACAAAAGTTGCATACTACTACTTTAAGTTTCTTGTTTGGGAGGTTTTCCTTGAATCCAAGGACTGCAT